TATTTTATTTTATTTTATTTTATTTTATTTTATTTTATTTTATTTTATTTTATTTTATTTTATTTTATTTTATTTTATTTTATTTTATTTTATTTCATTTTATTTCATTTTATTTCATTTTATTTTATTTTATTTTATTTTATTTTATTTCATTTTATTTTATTTTATTTTATTTTATTTTATTTTGTGTTGTTTTGTTTGTTTTGTTTTGTTTGTTTGTTTGTTTGTTTGTTTGTTTTTTCTTTTTAGCAAATCTTCTCTTAGTTACAATACAAACTATAATAAGCCATGTCCCAAATCCTTAGATCACTGGTTTTTGGAAGTGTTCAAGGTCTGGTTGGATGGGGCTTTGGGCAACATGATCTAGTGAAAGATATCTCTGCCTGTGAAAGTTCTTCCCAACTCCAACCATTCCTTGATTCCATGATTCCATAATCTGTTAAATTTCCTATGTCCTGTACGCCACTGGTTGTGTCACGTACGGTCTTTCAGATAAAAGAAGCAGAAGTCCATGGAAACACGTCGGTTTGACCGATTACGTCATTTTCAGAGTTCTGTCTGAAAAACAGAAGGATATTTTAGATATTAAACACCATCACTATTGACTTATACACAGCAGGCAGAGCAGCGACCCAGATTACGAGCAAATCTGAATATTAACATGGAAGTTCTCCCTGTTCCAATGTATGCCAGTGACACCGGAGCGAAGAGACAGACAGGAATATTCCATGGTGTGCTCCTTATCTGCTGCTATTTTCCTCCTTTCCTAAAAGAGATGAGAGTAACAGGGAAAAGCAAACCTGGAGGTAACCAGCGAAATAGAAAACTTGCACCAGAGACCGTACGTCGGTGGTTAGGTGGGGATATCGGAGAGAGGAACTCAGTCCTGGGCTTTGCCAGGTGATTCCTTTATCACCCGGGGGAAATATTTGCTCCTGTTTTTTATCGGTATGGAAAACACGGCCTTTAACCTCTGTATAAAAGATGCTTATCTGCAAAACGGGGAAAGACGTCCACGCTTTGTTTGTCTTGTCTGAAAATATTCTTTGTTCTTTATTCTTTGTTTGCGCAGCACTGAACGTGCTTCGTTTGCAGTTTCATTGCAACTTGAGTTGTCTGGATTACCAGAAACACCGAGTCCCTGTGGCTCCCGGTACTGTACTACAGTTATTTCTTAGAGGGAACGGGGATTGTTCCTCCTTCTTACTGGAAAGGCTGATGACTGCATGGAGGAACAAGTATTATCTGCTGATGCTGTCTGGAGTTTTATCTGTCAATCTATAATTTCAAATTTACATTTGGACGCCACTTTGGTGGCATTTGTGGTCATCCTGAGCCTAACGTGGAAACCCCCAATTTTCTGTTAGGATGCTGATGGAAAGGTCCCCCCTGAAAACATGTTTAAATGACAGGAGTTAAGGTAATGTGTTATTTTAAACTTTTCATATCATCAAAGGATGGAAAGCTGCTCCTCGGGAGCGTCATTCCGGCAGCATTTGTGACACCGTGGAAATTAAATCTGTGTTAAAATGGTCCACAGTGCTACTGCTCAGTGAGCAGCTTGGTTCTGTCCGTGGGAAGGTATCACCCAGGGCAGGCTGTGGCTGGAGGGAGGGAAACCAGAAGGCTGCTGCGTGATGCAATAAAATTTTAATGAGGAAGAAATGCTTATGTTTGCAAAGCGAGATATCACAGAATATGAAAAAAAAAAAAAAAAATCTGTTTCCAGACAGTTTCAGAGAACGTACAACAAAAGTCCCGCTCAAAGGTATTGCTGTCCTCAGCTGCTTTTCTTCTGCCGGCTGTGCGACTGCTGCTGAAGTTACGTGTTATTATGAGCGATGTCCATGTGGAATACGCTGCCCCACGATGGTTTAAAAAAAAAAAAAGGAAAGCCGGAACAGGCAACAATAGCAAACAACAAACTTAGAAACTGAGGGGTAAACAACAAGTGGATGAAAGATCAGAAATGCGAGCGGCAGTAGCTCCATTGCGGGGCTGCGGGAACGCTGAACCCACATCCTCGTTGCTCTGCGTATGGGCCTTCACGTGTGGCTCTGCTGAGACCTCCGCTGCCTTTAGCAGGGCCCACAGCTGCTCCGGAGGAACCGGCTGTAGCGGCGGGAGGAGGACGGGGTGCAGTACCCGCTGCCAAGCGTGGACAGGGCTGAGCCCCCATATCCATACTGGGCCCCATATCCCAGAGAGCCCCCATAACCGGAGCCGTAGAGGCCCCCCAGCCCCAGGTTGCCCCCAAAGGCGGGGGCTCCGGACGAGCCCACCACGGCTTGCTGGGGGAAGGAGCTGAGGATGGGGCCGGGGAAGGTGACGACGACGGGGGGCGGCTGGATCAGGGCCGTGGAGTCGGGGCACTGCCGGACACAGGGCTCATTGCAGCTGTTGGCGAGGGGCTGGGGGCAGGCGATGCCGTTGGTAGTGGGGCACAGGTCGTAGCAAGACATTTCTTTGCAGGGATGAAGGTGATCCTGAAACACAGAGCACAGAGCCGTGTGAAAACAGAGCACGAGGTCTGTCGGAACAGCAGGTCAGGGTTTGGTGCTGGGTTGTTGGGGAACGGGCAAAATCATCATCGGATGCATAAACAAAATTGGTGATGCTGTTCGCAGACTTTCCTGTCAATCAGCATTGCTCTGATCTTCCAAGCCTTCTGAAATTGCTGCTGCTTTTTTTTTTTTTTTTTTTTAAAAAAAAAAAAAAAAAAAAAAAAA